GTTTAGGGACTAAATTAAGAGTTTAATCAAAATAGAATTCTAATTTGATTTACGGGATGTACAACTTTAACATTATTCTAATTGTCATGAAATTTAAGATAATTGTTGTATACAAATGATAAACTCAATGTTATCCAAAAGCGAAAAATGATAAAACTCAATTTTAATTTGATGAAGAAAAACTCATCATTTTAATTAACTAATACGTGACAGATTTATGAGTCACGGGAGGTAATAAACGGGTTCCTCCTTTTTTTTGGCAATTTTTCTAACTAAAATGTAAATGAAACGTCAATTACACGAAGAGAGGGAGGGGTGGAAGGCCGAGGAGGGTCTTCTTTTATTGGCAAGCATATAAGCATTTTGAACCTGAGAGGAAAATGAATACTAAGCGTGCATATCAACCATTTGATTAATAGTTTCTGCAACCATATAAACTTCAGGATGTACTTGAACACAAGACAAAACCTAAACTGTTCAACAAGGATGGTAGCGCCAAGCTAACACTACATAGTAGCATCCATACTATATCCAGCCACTAGACAGATACGATGAGCACATTATTCAAATACTTCTAATGGTAGCTGCCCTTAGTGCTGTAGCTGGTTTTGATGATGGCGCTGGCCTTCGTGCTGGAGCTGACCTTGCTTCCCTTGGTGCTGTAGCCGGTCTTTATGCTAGCAGTGGCCTTAATGCCCTTCGTGCTGGAGCTGCCTTTGGCACTGGCGCCGGCCTTGATGTTGTTTTTCCTCTTGCTGCTGGAGCTGGCTTTGATGCCCTTGTTCCCAGAGTTGCCCTTCCTGCTGGAGCTGCCTTTGGCACTGGCGCTGGCCTTGATGTTGTTTTTCCTCTTGCTGCTGGAGCTGCCCTTGATGCCCTTGCTCCCAGAGTTGCCCTTGCTGCTGTTATTGCCATCATAATCAACCCGTCGATACCTCTCTTGAACCTGGTATTCAGAATAGCCACTTTTGTCCCCAACCCTGCAAGTTTTGGTCGTTGTGTAATCATTCTTGACACCAACTCTTCCTGTTGGTCTCTCCTTGAAAGTATCTCCCATAGAGGTAACCTCTTTGGTTGTTGAACGAGCATAGATACCAGTCTGCTTGTCCACACAAGAAGCCTTTGCAGTCCTCTGATAGGAGTTGGAATTGCTAGATTGTTTTCTTTTCGACCCCGCATAACAGGTGATGTCATTCTGCTTTCCACAATAGTTTTGAGTTGGTGTCCGAACTTGAGCGTATCCCATATAGGCAAAAACAGCCGTAGATAATTTGTCAGCCATTGAGATCCCTTCCTCAGAGACACTAGCCAAAAAACAAAAAGGAAAGTGATGAAGTTAGAATGGGAAGCACAAATGACTTCAACCCCTGGCTTGAATACCTCAGAGACCTTGCAAACTAACAATTTTGCATACAAGAACCTCGGAACCTAACCAAAAAATAAAGCATGCACCACTGAATCGATAAATTGAAATAAACATAAACTTGTTTAAGGAGCTTGAGGACAAAACTCTAAACATGATTTGGATAGTCAAAAGAAATTGATAGATGTGAAAAGAATAAATCAAACAAAGATACAATAAAACAAAAAGAAAAAGGAAAAAAAACCTCCTTCACAACATGAATCATAAATGAAACAATTAGCATAAACATTAATGTCAATTAGCAAGAAGACAAGTTCAGTTCAACTAGCGTTTTTCTAAGAAAGATAGTGAAAAGAAATGAAAGAAAGCAAATTTATGTAATTTTCCAAATGGACATAAATTTGTAATTCATGT